CTGTTGTATTTTTTCACTACTCATGATAAATGTGTACTGGGTACCTGAGACCCATATTGCACCTCCTGACCTATCCAAAGGCCAAATCCATGGCTTGGATTTCTTTTGTATCTGTCTTCTGCCGTAGTGTCTATAGGTCGTGTCTTCTCCATGGTAGGTCTCAACAAATACTTGTAGAATAAATATGCTCGACACTCCTTGCTGCTAAACCAGAACAAACAGTGTAGAATGAGTAGAAGGCTTTTCTGTGAACAAAGGAGATACCCTCCAATTAAATTAAATAAAATTAAATAAAATTAAATCGAATTAAATTAAATTAAATTAAATTAAAAATCTTCTTCCCTAGATCTTTTCATTTTCAATTCAATAAAATTGCATTGGACTACTATGTATTTTATGTTTATTATGCAGGCTCTTAAAGTGATTAAGACAAGGTCCTACCCTCCAAGAAGCTTCCACTCTAGAGGAGACCAATTGCCAATAACGCACAGATGAGTTCTTTTCCTCTGTTTTTGACTTCTGTCTCCCCGCCTGCAGTATCTATTTATTTTCCTTCTTTCTGCTATATCTAGTATACTTTTTACTTCCACATTTGTGCAGTGTAGGTAGTAGATATTCAAATGGAAATAGAAAAGGCCTGCCTGATCTTTGCCCAAGGTTTCTCGTGTTTAGCATTTTTTTTCTTTTTGCTTTAGTAAATTTATTTTGGTCAAATATATTTAGAAGGTAATAAAAGTATAGACTTGGTGATAACAGCAGTAATACCAGTTAACATTTATACAGTGTTCACTATATAAAACAATTAAGCACTCTATGCAATCCTTTCATTAATTCTCACAACTACCTTATGAAGGTAATGAGCATGGCCTCTCCAACATCCATTCCATTCCTCACCAATTCCATAGCAAGTGGTAGAGCAAGGATTGACTGAAAAAAATGCAAATCCCCAAACCCCTGCCCTGATGAATTTTTATGTTCACTCATCCTCCTGAAGCCTTCTCTACCTGCGGATTCAGATCTAAGAAATCTCACCTTGTAACTGCTCAGTGGAGGTAACAGTTTAGGTTCCTCAACCAGCTTCTGTTGACACCCAAGGTGAGGAGCTCCTGGTTCCTGAAGGGTGAGGGGTGGTCTCACGGACACCACAGTGGAGCTGCTGGACTGACTCTCCACTGTCTTCTCTGACACCACTCAGGGGGAACATGCAGGGACACCTTGTTACTGTCAGGCCAGTGTGGAAGTCCAGGAGGCCCACATGGTCTCCACTGACACCCAGGGTCGGGGGACTCTGACGGGCCTCATTACAGACCAGTGTGGGTGAAAGTCCCAGCTCTCCGCTTCACTCTGAAAGCACTCTGGGGAGGGCGTAGGGACATCTCCTTACAGCCTGGGGAGGGTGGAAGTCTGGGCCCCACCTGGCCTTTGCTGGTGTGGATCGGGGCAGGACTGTCGTTTTTTTCTGTGGTGCTTGGGCTGAACTGTTATTGTCTAAAAGTTTTCTGTCTTGTCAGGATGCCCTTCCTTTCTTTGCTGTAGGGAGCAGGGTTTTCTTGAGACTTTTTTTCTTTTTTTGGTTAGCACCTGTTGTTGTTTCAGAGTTGCCAGCTTCTGCAAATGCAGGTTGGGAATATATGACACAAAAAGAAAACCCAGAGGATTTCCCACTGTATTATTCTTCAGGGTCTGAGGTCCCTAGGTGTTCTGCTTTCTGCTCTTCACCTTTTAGAATCATCTTAGGTTCGTTTTATACATAATGCCCAGAGTTTGTAGTTGTACTTATTGGAAGGAATAGAGGAAAGTACATCTACTTTATCATGCCAGAAAGAGAAGTTCCAGAATGCTTATTTTTAAACACATGTAATTTATAGATTCATAATTACTTTAAAATGAAATAAATGTGAATATTGTAATTATGAAGATTCACATATTCTGACATTAACAGTGTCTATAATGACAATTTTGTGTACTTTCAATAAGGTAGATATGATCAAATTAGGGCTTCTTTTAGCTATCAAGTATGTGACAGATTGAAATCAGCATTTTATTTCAAATTGTAAATGATCATTTGCACAGGAAAAATTACTAACATCTATTTTTCTAAATGTACCACTTTGTTTTGGATGCAATTATTATTTTTGGAGTAACATTGAATAGTGGACATTGAATATGAAACATTGAAATAGATATTGAGTATGAGAAGTGCTCTTCTGTTTTAATGTCTATGGTGCAAAACATTTGTATCTGTAACAAAGGAGGAAAAGAAAGCAACATAAAAGATGTTAAGCATTTTCTTACTGTCACCTGAAATGTCTAAAGATCAATTTAACAGATTATGAATTAGGACATCCTAATCGAACCTGCTCCTGGGTTAAACTGGCTACTTTTTTAAGAACACAATATCTTTAGAAGCTGTAGTTTATATAACGCTTATGCTCCTGAAAGGCTATCTACAAGGGCTACATATGCACAAAATAAACCAAAAATGTATTTGTTCAACTAAAAATGGTACGAGTGATTTGAAATGTTCATATTTGATACAGAAGTCAAATGTCTCTTAATCAAATTTATAGTTCTGCAACTTGGTCATGATTTACCCAGTGCTTTCTATGACTTAAGTCAAAGAAAGTAACTACTGAGCTGAAAAAACAGCCAGAAAAAAAAAAAAAGACCCATTTGAATGGTGCCCGACTTTCTGAAGAATGAATGAGAAAGAAGTCAGTTTTCCTTCCATGCCCATTCAAATGACTCATCTGTTTTCATTTCATTCTCCCTTTCCGTGGGATTTTATGGTTCAATTTAGTGTGGCTACTTATAACTCTGAATCTGCATTGTGCTAACCTTACAGTTAAATTTTGTTGTGTGTGCCAACCACCAAAATTAGATTTTGATTATTCTCTTTTCATGAAAAAAAATCATTAAAATGAATGTGAGCATTGAGTTATGAATATTTTCCAGCTGTCTCCAAAACTACATACATGATTATTTATTAATCTACCTTTTATATTATATATTAGAAAATAATAAACTCATAATTTTCAGGAATAACATAATTTTTTGATACTAAAATTAGTTCTTATGATAGACATATTTTTTAGATCCTTCATTTTAGTTTAACCTGCCAGTCTATCATTTTCTGTGTCATTTAAAATCATAATTATCAATAATCTCTAAGTATACTGCCTATGGATAATGATGTAAACATCTTTTGATTTGTAATGTTCAGTTCATAATGTCTTATTGCACAACATAAAAAAGGCTTTCCCCCCACTTTCCTTAAATAATGATTCTAGAGAATAAGTGTATTTGCAGTCCAAAATTAAAGATTTGGATTTGCAAAGGATTGTATTATAGGAAGTTTGTCAGACAGACTGATAGGTTATATGATGTCATTTGATTTAAGAATCTCTCAATCCCTAACTGAAAACAGAAATGTGAAACTCTGAACCCTATTATTGTTAAATCTACAGAACACAAAATACCCAGTATTCTCTTTCTAGAAAATAGATGGTCACTTGCAGAAAATTGTGATTTAAAAAAATATATTTACAAATTTTTCGATACTTCCCTTTAAGAGGTAGAGATTAATTTCTCTCCCCTTGAATGAGAGTTGGTGATTTGCTTTTAATAAAAAGAATATGATGGGACTGATCATGAGTGACATCTGAGACTAGATCGTAAAAGGTATGATGGCTTCCTCTTTGCTTCCTTTCTGGAATCATTCACTCTGTGGGAAGCCAGCAACATGTAAACACACTGAAGCACTTGTAAAGAGAGAACCATGTGGTGAGGAATGGAGGCTTCCTCCCATTAGCCACTGGGGAGCTAAGACCCCCTGACAGTAATCATGTGAGTGGGCCATCTTGGAAGTGGATCATCTAGTCTCAGTCAAGTCTTCAGATGACAGTATCTATAGCTGAAGTCTTGACTGCAGTTTCATAGGAGACTCTGAGCCAGAACCACCCATCTAGACCTCTCCCAAACTATGAGATAATTAAGATTTGTTGTTTTAAGCTACTAAGTTTTGGGTTGATTTGCTACACAGCCATAGATGACAAATATAGATTTTTCCCTCTTTAAAATTCTTTTCCTCTGAAGTCATTTTTGGTAGCAAATGAATTGTATCATGTTAGGTGGAAGCATGACTTCATTGTTGAATTTTTTTGAAATTTAGTGGTTTAAAGAAATGTGTATGGATGCCAACTTCACAGAGGTGGATTTTGGTGGCTTTGTAATGTGTCAACTTGGCTTTGTTAAACTATATTTCCTGGAATTCCCTTTAAGTTTCTGGTTAGGGTGAGCCACAAGAAACAATTTTTCATGAGCATTGGAGGGCAGAGGTGAAGTAGCAGCCATTTAGTTTTTTATACTCACACGGTCAAGGCAGGCACTTTTGTATCTCACACACATTATTCCTTATCTGCTGGCTCATCTCATTAGAGCGGGGCAGCAGCCAGGCCTGCAACTGTTCTACCTTTCCCCGGATCCTCCTTTAACTTCTGATTCCTGGGCTAAATGCTTGTTAAGGTCTATGATGAACCTCCAATGTTTAGTGATTTGCCCATGGTTCCATGGTAAATTTTCAATAGAGCTAAATTTAGTCTTCTAGACCATTCTCTTTCTATATGCGCCATAACTGACATATTGCAAGAGAATTAATAAAATATTGGGTCTCCATACATTCTAGGAAATTTTCAAACTGTTTATTATTTTTTCTAATTATATCTAATGTAATTACCTAGTTATATTAATTTTTTTTAGTATATGGTTGTATGAGATTTTCTTTTTTCTTTAGGCAAATAAGGTAAAAGTAAGATTATTCTAAAATCTTTTACATGGATGGATTTTGAATTTTGATTCAGATAAAGGATTATTTCGGACAGCTTGATATGAAAACTTTAATTTTCAATTGTATTAGGTAAAATAATGAAAGTGTGTATCATGGCTTTAAAAAAAGATTATGAGAATGTTTTTCACTGTTTACATTTTGTTCATTTCTACAGCTGGATTCTGATGGCACCATTACTATAGAAGAGCAGATCGTCCTGGTGCTGAAAGCTAAAATACAGTGTGAACTCAACATCACAGCTGAGCTCCAGGAAGGAGGTAAAGATACCAAGAAAATTGTATCCTCCTTGTGCCTTGCCCCAGTCCTCACAAAGATTGCAGATTTCCCTCCTTACTTAGCAGTAGGAAGACCCTGATCAATCATTCCATGTGGAAGTGCACATAGAGAATGAGAGTCTCTTTAAGCCACTAACTTCCCTACCTATGGAAGGAATGACTTGCTCGATTTGTGAGTTTGGGAATAACAACTGTGTATATCCGTCTCTTTATCTGGCCTGTCTTTGGGATCTGTCCGCCTGCAATCTGTCCTTGATCATGCAATAACCTTGGAAGGGCAGGCACTGTCCTTGTGGGTATTGCCTGCAATTTTCAGTAGTATGTAAAAGTCAGAGGAGCAAACAAGCAAGCCCATTGATATGTACCTAGGCCATGTTCTCCAAATAACTTTTTTCTTAATAAGGTGGTTATTTGATCTCCATCTGCCTGACTCCTTATGTAATTTCTCAAATAGTTCTAAATTCAACTGGGAAGGGAAGTACTATATACCAAGCTCCCTAAATTCCCAGCAATCTGAATGCAGCAGATAACGTCCTTAAAGCTATGCCCCATAGTAAAATATGTAGTTTGATATCTGCTTCATTCTAGTCTCCAAATATTAAAAAAGTTTTGTGATTGATTTCTCAATTATTATCAAAGAATATGATCTGCATGATATGGTTTTTAAAAATGTATTGAGACCTACTGGCTTATAGAGTGGTCATTTTTGACAACGTTCCATGTGGTCTTCAAAGGAATGTGTATTCTTCATCTGAGTACATTGTTTTACAGTGCCCACTCAATTAAGCTTACTGGTTATATGGTTCACATATTCTGTATAAATAATGATTTTCCATTTGCTTGACCTATCCTTGTCTGAGGTTATATTTTAAAATCTCCCATTATGGATGGTAAATATTTTGCTTCATGTATTTTGAAAATATGTTATTTGGCATACACAAGTTTAGAAATGCTATATTTCATGGTAAATTAAACCTTTTTATCAGCATGAAGCAGCCTTCTTTATCTTTAGTATACTTTTGCTTTAAATATTAAATAATATATAATGTAAAATTATATTAAAGATAACAATATTTAAAAAACAGCATTAGTTTTTTTTTTCTCTTGGTAGATATTTGCCAAACATATCTTTCCCCATCCTTTAAAAAAGTGTTTAATTGTGGTAAAGCACACATAACATTAAATTTACCATCTCAAACATTTTTAAATGTACAGTCTAATATTATTGCATATTCATATTGTTGTGCAACCAGTTACCATAAATTTTTCATCTTACAAAATTGACACTGTGTATCTGTTAAATAGCTCCCTTTTTACATCTTTTAGTAAACATTTCTATATATTTACATTTGCAAGTCTCTTATAAACAAGGCAAATGTGGACTTTTTCTTGTTATTCATTCTGATAATTTTTATCTATTAACTGAAGAATTTATCCCAATTACATTAATTGTGATTATTAATATACAGTATTTGCATTTAATTCTACTATTTTATTTGGGTTTTCTTTTCACCAGCTCTTCCTGTGTGTCCCTTCCACTCCCCACACCCACCTTCTTTTAGCTTCTTTTTTAATTGATTGACTTTTTTCCTTATTTCATATTTTCTCCCCCTACTAGTTTGAAACTATATATTATATTTAATTCCTTTAGTGATTAACTTAAGGAAGCCCCAAATTCAGTGCTTGCTGACCCTATGGAATAGAATTGCTGGCCTCAGATTTATTCTTTTAATTTACAGCCAGCTAAGCCATGTTTTAAGAAATAAAATGTTTGTATTAATTCAGCATTTGTAGGTGTCTTGTCCTAGGAAGCAGTTTTCTGAATAGCCAAATAGTGTCAACAAGGGGAATTACTTATTCTATCTCTAAAGAACACTGAAGGAGCAGCGTCACCATGAAGGAATTTATAAGGATTATTATCTATGAAGGTTCAATGTACTATTTTCTCTGAAGTCTCATGAAATTTTAAGCTGGAAGATATCTCAGAGATTACCTCGTCCAACATTATCATCTTCAGTGTCCCTTTGACAGTTTGACAGATATATTATGTGCCCACAGTGTGTTGTAAGCACTGGGAGAAATAAATTAGATTCTATCCTTGCCCCACGGAGACGATGATGTAGTAAGGGAGACTGACACCTTCCAATAGGGTGTTATTAACAACAGAATCACTGAAAAAGCATCAATTCGTTGGAGAGGGATTGGAGGAGGCTTCCTGGAGGAATAATCATCTCACCTTAAAATAAAAGGTTAGAAATTAGATGTGTACAGGAGGAAGTAAAACATTTCTGGCAGAGGGAATAGGGTGGGTAAAAGGTAAGCAAGTAGGAATCAGTCATACACCACAAGACTTACACATAAAATGAGTCAATGATTTGGATGTAAACTTATGTAACATCCAAAATTTTTGAAGGAGTGAATCATGTGAAACATGTAGATGAATAAAAATATTAAAAGAGAAAAGACACTTTCTTTGAGGTCTTTCTCCGTACAAATGAGGTAGGTTAAATCTGGTCAAACTTTGGTCTGTATCTTAATGAAAAATGTCTAATTATACGTAAATTGACTCAAATTTTCTTCACTTTCTGTATAAAAAAGTGGAATCACATTTTGAAATCACCAGCCAATTTAGGAAATTTTCATTTAAAAATTTTTTGAAAATCAAGAGATGCTTATCAAAATATTTAGAAGTGAGCTCTTAGCCTATCTGCAATTTACTTTATAATACCACAGCAAAAAAATAAATTATATGCAATAAATATGGCAAAATATTAACGTGTCAATTCTAGATGATGGATGTATGATATTCTGTTTCGTTTATGAAAAACATTTTATAATAAAAATTAAAAATTTTCTTCATGTCTGTGAAAGAAAGCAAAGGAAATATAAATGCAAATACCCAGTTGTAAAACTATTCAAGGATTTAAAAATAAAAACCAAGAAGGTATTGATTTTGGTTCTGCTTTACGAATGTATCATCGCATTGTATTATGGGTAACTGTAGAACTGAAATGAGACAAAGTTAGATCCTTCAAATTTTTGATTGTTCTGTGTAAATATCATGGTTTTTCAAGCCCCATTAATAATTAGTTTGACCTGGCACATACAAAAGATTACAGGGAATGTGATTAATGGTGTTAATTTATAATGGGAGATTGATGAGTCACCAGGCAATTAAATAGTTTCTTGCTAAATCATTAAAGTATTTACTCACATAGGAGGTGGAATGATGATCAAAGAATAGATGTTAATTTAGATTTCTGTATTATCTGTGAGGTCATGGCTTCCCCAATCTTTTCAACCTTTTGTGAATATATATCATTCTCATTGTTGAAGAGCCACCAGAGAGATGAACATGATCTATAGAAACATTATTTTGGAGGAATATTGGTATTCTGAAATTTTGGGGGTATGTCTATGTGTATATATGTGTGGAGTGGTATCATGTAGGGTACTACAAAACTGTCCCTTTCAGAGAATGAGGAAATATCATCAGATCTTCTCCATAGAAATTTAAAGACTACATAATTATAGAATAAAAACAAAAAACAAAAAAAAAAAGAAAAGAAAAGAAAAAAAGAAGCAGAAACCCCAAAAACAAAAATAAAAAAAAAGATTATGTAATTATAGAATAAAATGGTCATTGGATTTTAGACATATGAAGATCTTATTCCATCATGTGACTAACTCTTGCCTGAACACCTCACATGACAATGCAGCATGAATTTTAGAGAGACAGCTAGTTACAAGAACACAAGACGATGTGTTCAGATCCAATTTATGTATATTACACAATAGATAGATGGTAAAGGATTGGACAGTCCAGATAAATAAGGATGCCTGACTTGTTCCAGACAAAATGAAAGGATGGGAAACCATATGGAATGCTGTCAAGATAGAGAAGAGTGTCTGGGGCAAATTTGTTGGGAGAGATTGATTCATTATACTCGGTTTAAACCAGAGGGAAAACAAACAAGAAGAAGGTAATGGTGGAGATAAGCAGGTGGAGCTGTGCACCTCCAGAAGCAGGAGCCCGTGCGATGAGTTCCTGGCTTGCTTGTGATAAGTAAAGCCCAGGCTTTTATTATGTGAACAAAGTGAGGCTGTTTCCAAGAAAATCAGTGTGGGCGAGGGAAGGCATTTTCTTTTTCTTATTGCTTCAGCAATCCACAGAGCAAATCATGTATTTGTTTCCAGGTGATATTAAGAAGTTAATTTCAACTCTGTGTGGAATAATGGGCAAAGAGTTAAGGTGGACTTGACTATATATATTTACCGTGGATTATCACCTGAGTTAGCCTTCTTTGGTATGTATTAGATCACAAATTTACTTTTGTGCCAATTGTGCTTAAAAAAAGAAAAAAAGAAAAAAGAGGTTAACTTCAGGGTTATACTGAATTCTTTTCTGTAGAGGTCAGTGTTTGTGTGAGGTTCTATTATGCTGACTATCAAAATTGAACAGACAACTTGACATCATGAACATTAGTGAGAACAAAAATCCTTGGCTATAGTTAGTGTAATTGGTAACTAAAAAATTGAGGGAACTATAATGGACGATACTTGTAGTAATGAAATAATGGCCTCCCAAAGGTGTCCACACGTGAATATATGTTGTGATGCCTGTATATGTTATGTTACATGACAAAGGAGCATAGCAAATGGAATTAAGGTTATGGGTCTTAAAATAGGGTGATTATCCTGGATTATCTGGATGGGCCTAATATAATCACATGGGCCTTTAAAGGTGGCCAAGAAGGGCAGAAGAGTCGCAGAAAAGGAGTATGGAGGGGACAGACTCGAAATGTGAGAAAGACTCAACCTGCTTTGCTGACTTTGAAAATGGAGGAAGGAGGCCATGGGCCAAGGAATGCGAGTGGCTTCTAGAAGTTGGGAACAGCCCTCAGCTGACACCCAGCAAGGAAACAGGGACCTCGGTCCTACAACTAGCTGCAAGGAACTGAATTCTAGCAATTGGAATGAGCAACGAAACAGATTGTCCCTCGGAGCCTCCAGAAAGACATGCAGGCCAGCCAAGATCTTGATTTTGGCTTCGTGTGTCTATAAGCAGAGATCCAGCCATGCTCACTGGACTTGTGATTTACAGAAATAGTGAGATAATAAATTTGGATTACTTGAAACCACTAAATTTGGGATAATTTGTTATGATAGCAATGGAAAATGAAAACAGCATTCATTAAAAGTTGTCTCTTTTTGGGAAGTCGGAGTATGACATAGCCGATATGCTCTTCTCTTGGAAGTTAAATGCAAAACTAATGGAGAGGAGTCTGGAAGAACACAGAGTGTTGACACTGACTGAATGTTTGTTAAACTCCTGACAACGTCCAGGTGGCTAATGCATGAAACAAAACAGACATAATTCCCAACCCTCATTAACCATAAGCCTTGGAGTTTAAGAAAACAATAACAACACAGTATTGGAAGGTGATGAGTGCTCAGATGAAAAATATAGCAGGAAAAGGCATAAGAAGTGTTTTGGGTTGTAATTTTAAATAGGGAAAGTTTACTCAGAAGTTGATGTTTGAGGTAAGGGAATAAGCCTTGAGGCTATCTGGGGGAATGGCATTGCATTCAAGCAAGAGCAAGGAGGACCTTAGCAGCAGTTGAAGTCGGGGAGAAAGGGTAGGGGAGAAGACAGATCCCATTGGGCCTTCAGACATTGTGACTTGGTTTTTGCTCAGAGTGGAATGGGAAGACTTTGGAAGATTTGGGGCTATTGTGTGAAGAATAAATGGAAGGCGAGGGAACATGGAGTCAGGGAGACCAGATGGAGGCTATTGCAGTAAATGAGGCTGGAGAGGAGATGGCTTGGACCATTATGGTGGCAATGGAGGTTTTGAGAAGTGACAGAATTCTGAATGCATTTTGAGGAGAGTAGAGCTTATGAGAATTTTGTTTGAGATGAGTATTAGATTCAAAGAAGTCACTAAAATTGTCAGTAAAAAAGCAAACCCAAACATTGGAGCTTACCTGTGAAGCTCAGTCTGTTTCATATGACATATATTTAACAGCAGTTAAAAAATCTAGCTACAACTATGATAGTTGGTAAAAATGTAGCTACAACTATGATAGTTGGTAGAATTTTACTACAGAAATTGTTCACAATGAATTTCAATGTTTCTTTCTTTTTTTAAAATAAGATTTTATTTGAGGCAAACTGACAACGTGCCAGGAAGCAAGATCTCAAATGCTCTGACAGTGTTTCTTATGTATTAAGTGCTATAATTCATACTTATTGGAATCACTAAAATACTTTTAATTTATGCAAGTCAAATATTCCTATCAATGGGCCTTTGATGAGGCCAGGTGGGTGAGTTTTGGGACATTTGTATTCTAGTTTCCAAAACTATCAAGTTGTTTTACATTTTGCTATAGGCAGTGATCCAAAATTTTGTATTTTGACTGAATTTACTCTGTAGTTCCAAGAGCATTTTTGTTTATTTGCTTTTTAATATTTTTCTTTCTTAGAGGGAAATTGTTTTCCAGAATGGGATGGACTTATTTGTTGGCCCAGAGGAACAGTGGGGAAAATATCGGCTGTCCCATGCCCTCCTTATATTTATGACTTCAATCATAAAGGTACTGAATTTTTCTGAAATGATTAATTTGGAACAGAAATTTACTTTTTTTTTAATGGACTGTAAGGCACCTGAGCAATCTCACTGTTTTTCTTCATGTCTTTATAGGAGTTGCTTTCCGACACTGTAACCCCAATGGAACATGGGATTTTATGCACAGTTTAAATAAAACATGGGCTAATTATTCAGACTGCCTTCGCTTTCTGCAGCCAGATATCAGCATAGGAAAGGTAATGGTAATTTCGTATTTGTGAACTCCTAAGAAAGCAGAATAATGATTTTATGCAATTTTTGATTGTCAACCATTATAAATTAAAACCTTTTATTCTATGACACGAAGATGATAAAAGATAAAAGCAAGTCGGAATCTTTTCAGATAACTGGTTAAGGAAAGCTCTAGGAAAATACCATTCTGGTATTTTCTTTAGGTTAGGGTTACTTGGCTGAGATATATACTTATAAATATGTATCTCTGTGTATATTATGTTACATTCTGTTTACATTAAATTATATTATGCCATTTTATGTATAAAAATTTAAATAGGTAATCAGCATCATGATTCACAATTTCTTTTGATTACCTATAAGTGGCTACATGTCATCTCACTCTAGATCTTAGAAGGAGCTTTGCATTTTAGAGATGTATTTCCCATCTTTTAAGGTTTGCCAGTAGGGAATTTCATTAGTATGTGAAATATTAGACTTGCAGAATTAAGGAGGAGCAAGGGGCATTCTACATATATATATATTGGTCTTTTAGCATAATACCTTAATTTTATACATGTGATTCAACTCAGAACCAGATATTAAGTGTTGGTTAGAGTGACACATTTCACTAATGGCAGGGTCTAAAGCAGAGCCCTGATCTACAAATTCCTCATCAGTGCTGTTTTTAGGGTAATAATCATATGTAAACTTTCAAAACTAGTTACTTTTAAGTTATATGCATTACTTTAAGAATCATGCTTAAATTCCTATCATTCAGACCTCCTGAGTAAAATACATGATGATATATGCATATGATGCTAGGGGTGAACCTGATAAATTGATGTATAAATGATTTTTGTTAGGACTCTGAGAACAGTTCTAATACATAAACTCTCCCAACGTTAGACATTTTTCTTTATGCTGGTTTTTTCGGGGAGTGGGAGAAAAGGAGAGATGGTGAACTGAAAATTTCTTTGATTTTGCATTAATAGTCAGAACTTCCTTTCTTAGCTTTTTTTCTAACACAAAGCACTACCACTTAAATGAGTTCTTTAGTAATTTGCTGAAAGACCTTCAGTTTGTATTTCATCGTTGACAAACTTCTTAGATAAAATTAGTTAATGTGAGGAATGCTATATACTTTACAATAGAATTAAAGCAAACAATGACTTAATATAAAATGCTTCAAAATTATTTTAATTTCATTGACATAAATATTCACAATATTTAATGTACTCTGTGATGAATTTGTGCATTAAATGATGCAGGTTTTAAATGGACTATAAATTAAATCATGGTTTTATGTATTCTGAACTCTAATTTTATAACCATTCTTTGTGATTACTATGTATTCTAAGAATCAAGATAGCAAAGCATGGTAATATACCCAAGATACATATATTATTTCATATAAAAATGATTTAAGAGTTAACTGAAAAATTTGAAGAATTTTGTTTGCATAAATAATTTTATCTTTTTAATTAAAAATACAAAGAATGTTTCTATTGGTTACAACTCTTAAGAAATAATTTGAGAAGACTTAAGAAAAATAAATATACTCTAATATAAGAAAACTGGATATCTCCTGACATTTTGATATTCTG